ACGGGAAAGTAACGGTAATCTAATTACCGTTTTTGCAATAGTAATCCCTTACTTTACTCGTTACTTGAAAAAAGTAATCTGATTACAGTCACGCGTTACTGCCCATCTCTGGTCACAAACACGTTGGTTTCCCTGTTTTAAGACTGAAAAATGCAAAAGCTGAATATTTGACCAGAATAAAATTGTATTTGCATTAACAAGGTGATTAAAGAGCTGATGGCTGTAAACTACACGACATATGAACCACATGTCCTTAAGAAACGAGAGCAAACGGGTCTGATACAGAGATTAATCTAACGTTTCAAATATTTGGGGAGAGCAAAACTGTGGCGGCTCTGTCACTGGGAGCTTAATGTCAGCCAGTAAGAGATGAATGAAATTATGAACACAGAAAAGCACCATGGTAACCTGACCCACCGTACGACACCATCTTGGAACATGTGATTCACAACAGATTTACTTTTCAGCTTGACCCCTGAATGCCAGGGCACTAAAAGCATACTTGAACGTGCTAGAGCACACAGTCATAGCGCGGCCTTCCCAGAAGCCACATCAACATTACTGAAGCAGCGTGGGACCAAAAGGCCGGGCAGACATTTTAATGTCCTTGAAGAAGCTCAGAGAATTATTCCTGAACAGTACAGAGCTGCAGGAGAGCACGACTGTGCAGCTTCTCACCCAGGTCATCGTCGTCCCACAGACCTGAGAAAAGAAAGAAAGTGCACTTCTTTAAACTTTCTTCTTCAGTTCTAAAAACAAAAGCGTCCCGTCTGGAGGTGGTCGTTGATGATGGGTGTGGAGACAGGCGTGGGTCCTTACCATCACCTGAGGCCAGGTGTGACGGGATCTCGAGACTGCATCGTGGGTGGCAGCAGCGGTTTCTTTCCACGCTGTGATGACACACATGATCAGAACTGAAGAAGCCTCCTGGATTAGCAGCGATCGTCTTCACTAACCTAACAAAGTCCAGCTGCCTTCTTCTTTCAAGCCCTTAAGGCTCCTGAGGAGAGTTCAGCTGAGCTGGATGACAGCAGTCACACCAAACATTGACTTTAAAGCTCGTTAGAATGAATCCGTCTGTTCTTGCCTTGTTTACTGTATTTCACCTGTTTGCACTTAAAGCTTTTACA